AGCCATTAGAGATTTGCCTGGCGAAAACTTTGAGGAGCCAAGAGAGATGGTGGCAGGAGCAGAGCCATCTGTATTTTTTTTAAACCCGAAAAGAACACATAGTGAAGAAATGAACCAAAAGAACTTGAAATCCAGCCTCTTCCATGTTAAAACAAAGGGATCAATAAACAGAAGACACAAAAACAGGTAATAACAATAATCTTAGAATTGCACAACTGGAAGGAAGTCACCAAGTCCAGCCCCTGTCAACGAGGTACAGTGGGGAATTGAACTCCTAAATTCTGGCCCTGCAGGCAGAAATCAAACCCTAAAGCATCCCTCCCCCAGAAAAAAAACATAATGAATCAAACCTGAAAGTTTTCCCCAAACAAATCTCTACAAGGCACTCTGTGACGGACACCAGCTTTGTCTGCTTTTTCTTTGGCTCTTTTGATCTGTCAATCATAGCGTACAAAATGATGTGAAGGAGGGACTGGCGAGTGGAGAGTCAGAGCAAGAATTAGTTTGAATGTAGTTGAGTCAGAGAAGGATGTTTTGAGAAGGTGTGAATGTGTTTTGAGTCAGAGAAGTGTGTCTGAGTGTGACTGCTGCTGTAGTGAGTGAAGCATGTCTGAGTGTAGTGGGAGAGTGAATGGAGCTGGGAAAGAGGTCATAGGAAGTTTAAAGCAGTCACTTGAAGTTCTACAGACACCTAACTCCCTATAGTTCATTAAACTTCCTCCACCTGTGCAAATAAAGGCTTCCACTGTTAAAAGTTAGCTCTCTTTGGTTTGTTAACTGTAGACTCCTCTAGGAGTTACACACACAAATGGTATCCTCTGGTAACATTCCTTCATCTCAGCAGCAGCCCTACAGTGATTTGAGCAGAGCACAGAGAGGAACAAATTGGGGGCAGTGTTTGAGAAAATAAGAGGTGGTCACCAGCATTAGAGACCTCAGGCCCTGTTTTCAATCTTTAGAAACACTAGCAATGCTTTAGTTTTTAAAAATTTTAGGCTTTTTATTAGATTTTGGCTCAATGTCTTAAATGACATTTAAATATAATTCATTATTGCATCTGTTAAGCAGATACAGTAATAATAAAATATTAAATTACACAGCTAATTAAATGAGACAGATACTTGAAATTATATCACAATTTAATTATTTAATATGCTTAAATTTGGAATAACAGGAAACTGGTGGGAATCACAATGTTTTCTTTATTCAGGAGATGGCTGAAGATGTGGCACTTCACGGAGGTTTTCCACACCAACCCTAGTTGATTACCCATTTTTGTCTGCGCATTATTGATTTGTGCCGTCTATTTTTATAGTGATTTGCTAACTGGTTTTAGTGCTTATCTTTCTCTTTTTCTTTGGTGTTGCATCTTGACACTAATGGGAGCGGTATGAAAACACTTTTTTTGAAAATCTGTTGGCAATATGGAACAACTATAGAAAGATATTTATTCCATCAACTTCTCCATAGCAGCCAGTGGTAGAATTGAGGAAATTTCCAAGAAATGTGAAACAAAATTTGGAGAATCTACCAAGAGAGAAACAATTAGGATAAAAGATTGGTTGAAAAAGATGAGGAATACAGAACAAATAACAGGATGTTTTACAAGTAGAAAGAATATCTTGGTTTAATCGTATTCATTTACAACAATGGACTAAGAACTCAATAAAAATGTTAAATGTAGGGATCTTATGAGATTTGAAGAGGTAGTTACAAAGGGAGAAGCTAGATGAAAATAAGATAATGAAAAAGATAATATAATTTATAAGATTTTAATAGAAGCAGAGAACCAACAGGATTTTCTTAAAACATTGTGGGAACACGATTTGGGAGAAGAAATAGGTATCAAGGTCTGAAACAATATTTGGGATAAAAGAATGTTAAAGTCTATGTCTGAAAGGATAAAGGGAAATGTTTAAAAAATGATTTGATTCAATTCTGGTGAAGTTATATCAAATAAATGCAAATCATTCTAAGTTAGGTATTCTTGAAGGCATTCACGGCCAGGATCTAATGGTTGTTGTAGGTTTCTCAGGGTATCCGGCCGTGTTCTTGAGCTTTTTCTTCCTAACATTTCACCAGTCTCTGCGGCCAGCATCTTCAGGGGACAGGAATCACAGATAGAGTTCTGACTCCTGTCCTCTGAAGATGCTGGCCACAGAAACTGGCGAAATGTTAGGAAGAAAAGCCTTAAGAACATGGCCAGACAGCCCAAAAAACCTGCAACAACCATTCTAAGTTACGTTGAAAGGATGTCAAAAAATGGGTACTTATTTGCATAAGCAGCAGAAATATGAAAATATATTGAAATGTTGGTGATTGTTTTTAAAGGAAATAAGCAAAGTAATTAAGATAAATATAGAGATTTTCTCTAGAATAGCTCTTTTATCAATTTTGGATAAGGAGCAATGGAATTGGGAAATGAAATAACTAATTTCAAATTTATTAACCAGATTAAAGGAAGCAAGTGATTTGAAAACAAAGCAAGATATATATTTTCCATCCTACATAATTTATAATTATCAGAGAGCAATAATGTTTCAAGGGATGTTTATATAAACATCCTAGACTGACACAACAGTTGCAGTACAAGGAATGTATTTTGTTGTATTAATAGTTTTAATTTTATCACAGAAGGTTAGTATCAGAAGAATTGTCAGGTTTGTTCCAACAGTAGTGAGGAAATGCCTTTTCCTCTAAAAACTGCCCAGCTATAAAACTAGCCTTGCCCTGAAGCTAAGGAGGAGGCCACTGTTTGACAGCATCAGTGTCTGAACTTGAAATGCTTACAAGTACATGCTGTTCTGCTATGCAATGTGACTGAAATGTCAGAGGTGCTGATCTGTATTATCTGCTGTAAGATCACCAAGTGTAACTTATGTTGCTAAATGGAGTTCAAGAAAATGAAGCCCATTTTTATAACCAGTAACAAGTGTTTTTTTAAACAAATATTAGTTTAATGATGAAATAACATGGGAACTGGATAAATCACACATGTAATATTTGTGACTCCTTTCTGCACAAAACCTGTAGAGGTTGCCTGGGTATGTGTAACTGGAAGGGGTCCATCCTACAACACTCAATCTTATAGTGGAAGTTAAACTGGGCCAGACATAGGTAGGAGTCAAGCAAGAGACCATCAGGTAATACCAGGGTTCTTCAAGTAGGGTTAGGAAACACTCCTGTAGAATCAGAGTTGAAAATATTGGGCTAGACGGACCAATAATCTAATTCAGTATAAGGCAGCTTCCTACTCGAGAAAGTTGCACTGAAGCCCTGCTAGCTGCCAATTCTTTTTAGAAAAGCAGTGACATTTTTCTCTATACGGTACTGAATTGATTGTTTGGTATTCAGCACAAAGACAATTGAGCCAACTAAAAGAGTTTAGTCAAATAGTATAGCAAATCACCTGATTAGCCAATCTAAAAACTAGGTGGATATCAGACAGAAAAGCACAACGATGATCAATCTCCTCCTGGTCACTGGCCTTAAAGCTTTCATTTTTCAACATCTCTAGTCCAAACAGACTTGAATGATGAGAGTTGATAAGCTTTCCACAAAGTTACGTATTTGATTTTATTAGATCCCATGCTTTCGCACCTTGCTAATACGCCCACACTAGGTTTGCCATTTCCCAAGCAAAATTCTTGATAATTATCTAGTTGGAAATGCACTATTACAGTCCACTTTAGCTCACACAAAGTATTACATAAACTCGTATCAGAATCTAGAGTTCTGGCAACATTGCTGTGAGCTTTCTTGACGTCCTCAGTATATTAAGGTGTGCATTTAAGGAGATGAAGATCCCCTATAAGGTATATTAAATGATATGACAGGGTATGCCAGTCAGATTGCAGTGTTCAAAGAGGCTGGTCTTATTAGATCAATAGACTAGAACAAATAAGTGAGTAAACACTGCCACTCTGTGGATAAGGCGGGTATACAGCTGCAGCTTAAGTTTTAAAGTCACGTTTTAAGGCACGCTATCAGGATAACTGATATTTTCAGAATGGAGAGTGATGATATAGCAAATATTATAGCACGTTCCCATTTCCTTTTCACTTGTACTGGATGAGAGAAAAACATTGTTACTAAGCTTCACGGAAGCAGATAGGCATCAGAAAGCTCCATCACACAGATCTTCTTTTTTAATGCAAACATCCCTTCCCTAATCCATTTTAATTATTTTTTGTCAGGATGAATAAGGATATTCTTGAAACTACTGTAGGTTACTGCATTTACACAGGGCAACCAGGGAAGAGAAAATTCAAAACATGATCCCTGAACCACATTCTCTCTTCAGACTACTGCAATACAGTGGTGCCTCATAAGACAATGTTAATTCGTTCCATGAAAATCACTGTCTTACGAAAACATTGTCTTGTGAAACAAAAAACCCCATTGAAATGCACTGAAACCAATTCAATGCGTTCTAATGGGCTGAAAACTCACTGTCCTGCGAAGATCCTCCATAGGGGCGGCCATTTTCGCTGCCTGTAAGGTGGGGAATCTGTCCCTAAGCACAGCGGGGAGCCATTTTAATTACGTGGCGGCCATATTGAAACCGCCAATCAGCTGTTAAAAAAACATTGGTTTGCGAAGAATCGGTTCCTGAAGCAGGGAACCGATCATCACAAAGCAAAAAAACCCTATTTAGACCATTGTTTTGTGATCGCAAAAGCGATCGCAAAAACGTCATTGTGAAGCAGTTTCGCTGTTTAACGAGGCAATCATTAAGCGAGGCACCACTGTATTGTTGTCTCAAAGTGTCAAACAGCTTCAGAACTCTTAAAAAAACACGTGTCTCCATACTCTGAAGCTTAGTAGCCTCTTCCAGTATTTCAGGACTGGAGCCATTTATTTCCAGAGTTCCTTTCCAAATGCCTCCGAAAAAGATCCCGCATCAGCTTAACAATAGCAGGAGATACAAGTGAGGAACTAAATCATACTATTAAGCTAAACAGTTTTTTCCCATCCCATCATAACACTCTTCCAAATACCTTTAAGTCATCAGCCTCAGGTTTTTCAGTCTCTGAATCGTCATCTTCCTATAAGAAAAGAATTTACAGATTAAGCTTTAAAGAGTGGGCTCAGCAAGTTCTTGCATGTGTGGCAAGGGGCTTGCATTAGACAGCCCAGTTTTACCTTTTAATTCTGTTGACCTGTTCTAGGAACTTCCTTCCCCCATCCCAACAAAATATCTATTCAGACAAAATGCAGCATGAGCAGGACATTACTACTCTGGAAAAACATGAACCTACAGATTCCCGATGTCCATATTAAGGGTAGATAATTTTTTAAAAATCAAATTGATTTAAGTCATGATTTAAATAAAAAATATTTTTTAAAAATTTAACTGTCAAAAGAAATATCAAAATTTCCACCCTACATATAACATTTGATTTCTCAAAGCAAAAAAGAAATAGGAAGAGAATACAAATTGGAAAAACAAACATGTTTATTGTGCAGGTGGATTAATAGTTTAATATCAAATACAGTGGGGCCCCGCATAATGAGCGCTTGGTTTAACGACGAATCCACATAGCGATGTGTTTTTTGCGATCGCAAAAGCGATTGCATTGCAATGTTTCAGATGGCAAAACATTGCTTTGTGATGATCGGTAAGCGTTTCGCTTACCGATTTTTGCATAGCGATGTTTTAAGAACAGCTGATCGGCGGTTCCAAAATGGCCACCGGGTAAATAAAATGGCCGCCCGCAGTGATTTCGCGTCCTTTCCTCATTTACTGGGTAGCAAAAATGGCGGCTGCATGGAGGATTTTCGCAGAATGGTGAGTTTTTTGCCCATAGGAACGCATTAAACGTGTTTTAATGCATTCCTATGGGCTTCTTTGTCCCACATAGCGACGAATCCGTATAGCGATGATTTTTCCAGAACGGATTATGCGGGGCATCACTGTATGGCTATAAGACAACTATAATACAAACACAAATCTATTCAGCATCTAATCAGATAAAAATTTATTAATCCCTCTGCTTTTTTGACCTACACAGCATCCTTTCAATTCAACATGTTTTTCTGAAGGAACAATTTAGGCTGCTGGATATAACGGTCTTGAGTGAATGAGAGAAACAGCAATTCAGAAGATTAGCATACACGTATTGTTCTGAAGTAGAATAACCAGATATTTGACTCAGATAATTGCTAAGTCCCCAAAACTTCATTCAGCAATGAACACCAGCTTTTACAGTTTTTGTACTCATTTCTTGTTTCTCTGCAACCAAGGTATTCGTATGAGGACCTCTGCTTCACCCCCTACTAAATATTTAGTATTAAAGAGTAACTCAAACAATAGCAGTTCTACAACGATAACTATTACTGAATTAAAGAATCAAGTGTGGTATGTACAAACCTTCTTTAGTCTCTAAAGTCAAAGATACTGTACTAGTTATGGATACTATTGCTTAAACTCAGAGCCAATGTCACAACAAAGGTGGCTTACACAGATACGTAATCAGGCTGCAGGCCAAAAAAACTAACTTCTGATTGTATTACTCCATAAAACAAAACAAAAAAGATTAGCCAAGATGGTGCCATTCAAACATTTTGAACTATAACTCTCAATCTGTAACCACTGGCCATTTCAGCTATCAGTGCTGTAGTTTGAAAAATGTGGAGGGCACCAAGCCACCTTCCTCTTATATACAGGCCAAGGCTGTGGTTTCATCAGTGTACTGGTGATGCACAGTCCAACCTTTCATTTCTACCTTCAGATCCAGGTAAGGCAATGACACTTCTGTGAACAAACTTTATTGAGATGTATGCAGCTTGTAACTTTTGCCCCAGCTTGTTCTGTTTTAATGGATACTTTTCAGTTTGTGCAGCCTGATGATGTGGACAGGATTCTTGGAGAGGTGAATGCCCCCACATGTGTGCTGGACCCTTGCCCTTCCTGGCTTATAAAAAGCTACAAGCAACACAATCTTATTTTACCATACTGGCAGGAAATTTTACTTGGAAAAAGCTCAATGGAATACTGTCTTTAGTGTCTAAACAAATGCAACCACTGGGTTCAAATCCTATTCCTTAAGCATAGTAGATCATAGTTAAGAGTCAATTCAGCTTATGGAGGAGTTGACTCACCAAGTCCTCACTGATTCACTGGGCCCTCTCTAGTGCAACTTACTAAGCTAAGCAACATGATTTCAGATGTGTACATACAAGTAGACAAAAAGAACATAGACACTGACAGAAGTTCACATGCTGCACCAGTGCTTTGCTTTTTATAAACTGACAAAAATATATGGGAATGCACATAACTCAATTGAAATTGTTTCTGGAAAGACAATGGATAATGTATACATTACACAATAAGAAAGTTTTCAAAAAATGTCACAGTATCCTTTTAGTGGCAATTTTACAATACAACTTTCGGGATGAATTTAGGCATCATGCTCAAAAAGCAAAAAATTATCACTCCCCACCCCCTTTTGTGAATTACTACACACAGCTGGTGTGGTCACAAGTTGACACAAAAAGTACAAGTACATTTTTAAAAGGCATGAAATTGGTATTTTAAAAATTTCTTAAAACAATAAAAATGAGCAATTTGTGGATGTGGAATAAAAATGTGCTGTGCACCATCTATGTTATTTTTGTGTTGTTAAGCCATATAACACTTTTTAAAAACTGTTTATCCTTCTAAACAATATCTACAAGGCACTCCCCACCACCGGCAAAGAGTCTCCAGGAACAAACTAGGGTAAGGTGGCATAGAGTGATGCAGTCAGAAGGAGATGGTGGGACAGCCCCATTCCAAGCAAAATTTAAGTGACACCGTAATTTATCCATCCTGGCCACAACACACCAACAAGTTTACGAACAGTAACTGTGTTCTTTTTCATCCTACTAGAGGACAGTGCTCCCCTCAAAAGCTCATGTAGACCACAGGCCATTTATACTGTACACCTTGGCATGTGTTTATGTTGTCTATAAAGACACAGTCTGAAGTACTAGCCGCTAGCAATTCCACCTAGTGCAAATGGATGTCAAAGAGTCTGGTAGAAACTGGATTGCCAGATACATTATGGTTTATACATATTTTGGCATTTAAACCTCCCTCTGTAATAGTGAAATGCATAATGATTTGTATAAACAAGAAACAAAAGAAAACATGAGCTGGAATACTTTCCATTCTACAGCCAAAGACATTATATAAGTATGCAGGCACCAAACATTAAACCAAGCAATAAAAAATAAGGTACCTACCGACTGCCTGCTGTTTTCATCATCTTCATCATAACCATCTTCCTCTCCTTCCATTTTACTGAAGTCGTCTTCTCCATAGCCTTCAGACACAAGTCCCCCTTTTTCTTCTAACCCATTCAAAATGACAAGGAAAAATAACTGAATGAGTTGAAGTTTGGCATGTCAATAAAATATAAGCAAAAGATGGGCAGTGCCTTGATTTATGGTGGCTAAAACGATGTGCTCCTACACCAAAAACATGCATTTGGAAGTGAACTGCCTCAAGATAAGAAATCTCAATGGATGATATCGGTTCAGTTCTGAGTCCAGGGACCCAGCACACAACAGATAACATTTGTGGAGAATTCTTAAGCTGAAGCAATTTGCTTCCAGATGTTATGCCTTTTAGCAAAGGAACAGGACTTGAGCCAGTATGGATAAATATATAAATTATGGCACAGAAGTCACTGTGCCAGTAAAATCCAAGTCTAAAGAGATCTGCACCCTCTTAAAAATCAAACAGTATAACTAAACATTGCTTAAAACACTGACACAAGATTCATTACACACAAAACTTCCCAAATTAAAACCATGTTCAGAAAACAATTTTGAATTTTGTACATTAGCGAGAAGGAAGACAGATGTCAAATAAATATTCTTAACTAATTAATCATATCAGAGATATATAAAAGAAAATTGCTAGAAATTTTTGGGAAGGATAAGTTGAGCGGATGAGGACAGGCTTTGCTATCACGTAACAGCCTCTGAAGTACAACAGATGAGAAAGAACCTGGGGCACTGGGGAGCAATAACTAGAGCTGCTACTATCAGTTAGAGTCAGTGCTTCCCAACCTTGGGTGACCCAGTTGTTCTTAGACTACAACTCCCAGAAACCCTGGGCAGCACAGTTAGCTGTGAAGGCTTTTGGGAACTGCAGTCCAAGAACATTTCAGGGTTACACAAGGTTGGGAACCACTGGAGTATACGGTCTGACAAACTAAATTTTATTTCATCTATTTTAAACATTTATACTCCATCTTTCTTCCAATAAGGATTCAAGCTAGCTTCATATGTTCAAAACGACTCCCGTTCCTCACACGAACTGCGCAAGCAAGTGTAATACAGATGCTAAAGTATTGCTGGCTTTTAACTTTGAAAATCCAGGCTTAACCGCCCCCCCCCCATCACCCTTAGTGAGCCATGAAACCTTAGGACGATTACTCTATTTCACAGGGTTGTTCGCTGTAGAAACACCAGTCGGAAGGGAGTACCAGGGTAACTTAATGAAACGCAAAATATAACTGTACCGATCAGGTACAATAACAAAGACAACGTGAAACATAAAATGCTGCCCCAAAGGGTTCCCGCCAGAAGACGCGCATTCTTGGCGGGCCTCCCTCCGCCGAACCGACGCAGCCCTGCCAAGACCTCACCCGTCCCTGCAGCTCGCTCGCTGCCCCCTCCACCGGCCTCACTACCGGATTCCGGCTCAGAATCTTCCGCGTAAACCGCCAAAGAAGAGAGAACACCCTTATTCCCAGCCGCCATGTTCCCACTTGGAATCTCAGAAAATGAACTGGATTTCCGGCGCGCTCAAATGACGTAATGCGGAAGAAGGTGGTGAGCAATCGCCATGGCAACCGCGCTTTCTTTTTCAGAGGGCCACCGAGCTGATTTCAACGTAAGTTTTCCCCCTTTTGAGGAACCGAAGGACGCACTTTTAGAAAGGAAGAGGAAAGACGGTATGTGGGGTGAATCTCCCTTCGATGACTCGAGTTCAAGATTGGTTTTAGGTGATGCGGCTCTTTAAAGGCGCCGGCCAACGTCATCAAACGGCGTTCCAGCAAAGCGGAGGTTTCAGTTACGCGCTTGTTCGGAGGCGACGTCAGCCGCGGCGACTGGAGCGGAAGGATATGGGTTTAAAGGAAGTGGGAGTGAAGAGCTGAGGGGAACGTGGAGAGGCGTAACATGTAGCAATAGCTTATGAACGTCCTTCACGTAAAGCATTCATTCCCTGTGCAGGGCGGCCGTTGGCAGTAGGTGGTCCGCCGTCTTGATAAGACACGATCTTGGGAGACGTGTAGACCTCGTTTCTAATGGGGCTAGTTTTGCTTCCTAGTCGCGAAGGGTCTTGAACTTTCAAGAATAGCTCCTCTTCCCTTTCTCAGGGCTGGTGTTCTACTCGGAAGGAGCTCAGTTCGGGGGAAAAAGGAAATGGAGAGGGGAATGGGAAACCGAAAGTCCCATCAGCCTTTGGCGCTTCAGTGTCGGGAGTGTCTGTGGGTTCTGGTCCGCTTCTGTTCTTAGAGAACTTGTTATTCTTTTTCCTCGGAGAAGGTGATGCTGTGAGGCAACCTAGAGTGTAGTAGTGTGAGTGAGTCTGGAGAAAACTTTGAAAGTAATAACATATGGTAACTTTGATAGGCGCCATAAAGCTGCTGTAGATTCTTGGAAACGAAAAGGCTAGTTTCCAACGAATTGGAGAGGGAAAAATGAAGCTAGGTGCTCTGAACGGAAATATTTTATCTATACTTGCCTGGAAAGGAAGAAGAGAACTGTCATTCTGGTTGTATTAGTTTTTTTAAAAGATTTCTAGACCTCGTTATTAGTTTGGGGAGGGTATCTGACCTAGTGCTATTTCCATGAGGCAGAAATATGGGCATAAATAAGCCAAAGTACATCTCATTGTGTAACCTGTCTTTTATTATTATTTTGAAAAAATTACATTCAGTAGATGAGGTACATCCCTTTTGAGTAGACATCATTAGTAAGAAAATAATTCAAGTAAAGAATTCAAGAAAATAATTCAAGTAAAATCCTCTCCTAACTTTACTTTTAGTTGACCTCAGTATCTCCTTATAAGATGAGTAGCTGCTTTTCATCAAGGGTGGAAGACAGAGTTCAGCAAACTCTGAAAAAAGTCTTTGGATTTGACTCTTTCAAGACCTCGTTGCAGAAAAGTGCAATCATGACTGTGGTGAAAGGTACATTGCAGATTCATATCTTTGCAAAATGTAGCAGTGAAGAATTTTATCTCCCTTTTTTGTGGCTTTTTTCAACTCTGCTTAATGTAAGAATATAAATGATATCTTGAGTCATAACATTACTGGTGCAGTTGTACATTTTTGCTCATGTCCCATTACATAGTTACATTGGCATAACATAAACAGTGTAACTTTTGAGAGTTAATTGCCCCAGTTTAAGAAATCACTGTAATCGTTATCAGTTGCATACTGAGTTGTGTGCCTCTGTGTACAACTGATAATATAATTGGGGATTTCTTAACTTGGAGATATTTGCCTCTAAAATTTATCCCATTTCCATAGCTACCCGACTGGATTTTGATCATTATATAATGTACTTTAGTGAAAACTTGGTGAATTGGATAACAGTAAATAGTCTATAAAAATTAGTTTTACAAAGCCAGATGTTCTTTGATTAAAATTTCTAAGGCTTTCGGTTCTATAATCCTTTGCACATTTTCCATTAGTCCTTAAAGTGAACATATTAGTACTTGAACAAATTAACAATCCCAAAGTAGACATCTGGGCATAGGCCTCATTAAAATGTGACATTTAATTCCATGTAGAAGAGGGGGTTGTATTCTTGTTTCTCATCATGTCTCTTCATGAGCTTTTCTAATTAAAGTTGATAAAAGTTGGAAGCCTAATAACAGCTAGAGGTTCCCACCTTCTGTCTTAAATCGCTGCAGTCCAGCTTTCACTAACTCACACTGGCATTAAATCCTATCTTTCAGTTGTAAGGCTTACATCATTATCAGATATATGCTTGCTTGGAAATTTTACTGAGTTCAGTAGAATTTACTGTGAAGTAAATAAGATTTTTAGACTTTCTTGTTTAATAATTATTTGATTATTCAGCAGGTGTGATTTTTAAAAACTGATTTAATCATGCTTGGTGAGGACGTCCTGAAGTCAGTGGGACTTTTTGGACTTAAATTAGTCACTAGCCCAACAGTTCCATTGGGTCTACTGGAAGTATGACATGGTCTGGAGCCAGTCCTGTATGTTACTGGCTTTGTAACTCAGCTATATATGTGTCTGTATATATATATGTATGTGTGTGTATATGTGTCTGTGTATGTATGTATATGTGTGTGTGTTTGTGTGTGTGTCATGTTAATGGCTTTGTAACAATTCAGCTTTTAAACCAACTAATCTCTGCCATTAGCTAGGAGACTAAGGGTCTTTGGGAATTTTGCAATCAGAGCCTCCCAGCATTAAGAGCATGGCAAGAGAAGGATCAAAATATATAGTTTTCCAAGAAGGAGCAGCCATAGGCAATCCCTCTGCCACCACCAAGATATATAATGTATGTATGTACAGTATGTATGTGGTGGCCACCACACCATATATGTTTTTGAAGCCACATATAGGTCTGGAGCCAGTCCTGTATGTTACTGGCTTTGTAACTCAGCTATATATGTGTCTGTATATATATATGTATGTGTGTGTATATGTGTCTGTGTATGTATGTATATGTGTGTGTGTTTGTGTGTGTGTATGTATGTATAGATGTATGTGGTGGCCACCACACCATAAATATGTTTTTGAAGCCACATGTGCATACATACATATGTGTGTGTGTGAGAGTGAAGCCACATATATATGTATGCCCCCCCCCCACACGGCTTCAAACAGGTTGGAGAGGCAGGCTTGTTTCAAATCCTGTACACATAGGTTCTCATTACATCCAAACTCCTCACATATGGAAGATGTATGTGGTGGCCACCACACCATAAATATGTTTTTGAAGCCACATGTGCATACATACATATGTGTGTGTGTGAGAGTGAAGCCACATATATATGTATGCCCCCCCCCCACACGGCTTCAAACAGGTTGGAGAGGCAGGCTTGTTTCAAATCCTGTACACATAGGTTCTCATTACATCCAAACTCCTCACATATGGATTCTCATTGCATCCGTGTTCCAAGACTTTAGAACAAAATCTTGAACACTGAATTCTTGCCTTTCAGGGGAGAAGGATGTTTTTATATGTATGCCAACTGGGGCAGGGAAATCCTTATGCTATCAGCTTCCTGCAGTCCTGGCATCAGGCATCACCATTGTCATTTCACCTTTAATAGCACTGATTCAGGTAATGGCTCATGTTATGTTGTAAGGGAGAAAATGAGAAAAGGTAGAAGATGGTGGGTCTCTGGAATACACCAATACTCAGGTGCTACACTTAAGCCCTCAAACTGGAAGTTCTCTGGCTTTTTGAGGATAAGCGGTTTGCTGGTTCCTGCCCTTTGTTGCTTCTGGTTGCAGCAGAAGCAGCTTAGGAAAACACAGACATTTGGTCTGTAGCTAAATTTACTGGCAACTAGTATATTACTTTGGATTATTTCTCTTTCAACATGTTAAGAGCAAGGTTCTAGAGCTTGTTTCATGATTTTTCTGTCTCATTTGGCGTAAGGAGAGAAACTAAAAGACAAATGGTGACAAGGTTTAGAGATTACAGTAAGCAAAAACTTGGGCTAAACATCCATTGTTCAGCTCTTCCTGCTGCAAGGGGAAGCAATAGGACACAGTGCATGAATGTGTGCTATCTTCAGTCAGCCAGGACTCCCGTAGTTCCATAGTTTAAGTGTGATATTGCCTCACAGAAGGAACAAACAATGAAGTTAGAGGTGACTAAAATGGAACATATACTCTAGCTGAATCCAAATTAATAGTTATATTTCTTTGTATAATGTAGTGTTGATTTATTGTACTCTTATCTGGGTATGGCTTTGTTTTGAAAACCATAGTACTCTTAATGTTTTGGATGTTTTCCAGCTATTTGAGTTTTCACATATTCTAAAGGAAATGGTAAAATTGGTTGTTGTGGGTTTTTCGGGCTCTTTGGCTGTGTTTTGAAGGTTGTTCTTCCTAACGTTTCGCCAGTCACTGTGGCCGGCATCTTCAGAGGACAGCACTCTGGTAAATTGCTAATCAGAGCATCTGTGTCAAACGTAGCCACTTTTATAGAAGGTAGAGGATCTTGACATTTTAGTATGTTAGTGCTTGTTAATTTTGGCCAGTTTTCATGAACAGAATAAGATTGAAAACCAGGAAATACATAATGAAGCATGGGAGTTTTGGAAATGGTAAAATACAGTCAGGCATGATTAATTATCTGAGGATTGTAACTATTTTGATAGAAGGATGTTTTTTCTAAAATAGCCTGCTCTTCTCAACAGGACCAGGTGGATCATCTACTTTCTCTTAAAGTCAAAGTAAGCTCCCTTAACTCCAAGATTTCTGCCCAAGAAAGAAAAGCCATCCTAACTGACTTAATGAGTGAACAACCCCATACAAAACTCTTGTATATCACACCGGAGATGGCAGCTTCCTCTTCCTTTCAACCCACCTTGGACGTTCTAGTGTCTCGAAACCTTCTCTCCTATCTGATAGTTGATGAGGCTCACTGTGTCTCTCAGTGGGGGCATGACTTTCGACCAGATTACCTGCGGCTTGGCTCCTTGCGCTATCGCATACCCAGCACGCCATGCATAGCCCTGACGGCCACTGCCACTAAACAAGTCCAAGATGATATTGTAGCATCACTTAAGCTAAGGCCACCTGTTGCCACCTTCAGGACACCTTGTTTCAGGCCCAACCTCTTCTACGATGTGCAATATAAAGAGCTCTTAACAGATCCTTATGAAAACCTGAAGGATTTCTGTCTAAAGTCCTTTGGGAAGGAGAATGCCTCAGGGGTGAGTTAACTATCTTGAGAAACACACCATTTTCTGTCTTTTTTGTTTTTAAGAAATTCATAGCAGTTTACTGTACATTCTAAGATGAACAGTGGATTAGAACCTATTTTGAAAGATACTCTCTCAGTGTAAATAGAAAAACAAATGTTAAGTGGATGGTTTTTAATCTATTAAAAGGTACAGTAGTGTACCTTTATACTCATGTGCATCATTACTCAGTTATTACTGCCATCAGAAAGGGAACTGCCTCTGGCAAGTACATTGACAAAAAAATGAACTCTTAGCAGTCTGTACCTGTGTTTACTCAGAAGGAAATCCTGCTAATTTCTGAGGAACTTAATACTCTAATCTGTAGCAAATTATAATTAGCAAAATTGTATACATGCTTGTTCAGAAATACACCTTGTTATAGTAATATGATTTACAGTTAGAACGGTGATCATAAGGGTCATGAGGTCATGCTAATCGGATTCAACAAGTGCTAACTGAGGACCTTTCAATTTGCAGGTAGTACTGGTAGCCAAATTGTACATGTAACAAAAACTGGGGGAAAATGCATATACAGTGAGGTCTCGACCTACAGAATTAATCGGTATTGGAACAGGGTCTGTAGGTCGAAAAGTCCTCAAGTCGAAAATGCATTCCCCATAGGAATGCATTGAAAACATATTAATCCGTAACCCACCCAGGAAACACCCCCCCACACACAAATTAAAAATATATTTTTTAAAAAATTACCTTTTTGAAATCTTCAAGGGGTCTCCGCCGCCGCCATCAACACTGCCGGAGGACTCTGAGGGCTTCGGTGCTGCTGCTGGAGGCCTCTCAGAGGTCCCCCTGCTGCCGATAGAGCTTCGGAGGCACTATCGTGGGGGGGGGCATCCAAGAGG